TAAATTGATTTTTATTTTAGTACTTCGGTGTAATATTACAGGCTACGTGAGAAGAAGAGCGGAAAAGGAACGTCATGAATCATATCTTTCCCGTGAAGTGGTATTACTGCATGCCTTTTGGGTGACACGTGAAACAGAGTCCAAAGCCACCATTAATGAGCAGGAAAAGTTGGGGGGGACGGGAGCCGTCACGAGCTGCTCCTTCCTTCCCCACCCATCCAGATCTGACGAGCCGCCCAATTATCCACTTTAGATCGGCTTCCACCAAAAAGAGGAAGAAAAAGCAAAAGAAAGAGAAAGAAGCTTCACCTGAAACATGGGAATTGGATTCTGCTCTTTATTAGGACGACGTTCTCTCTGGATAAAATGTTCATGGATGAGTCCTTCACATCTATCTTATCTTATCCATCCTTGTGCCGACTCAGCATGTGTCATCCACGGATTCTAAATCCCGCTATATTTTGTATGATACCTGCTAATTTTGACTGTCTAAGATCCCAAGAGTTCGAAGCCAACTCGAATCAAATGTCTAATTTTATTATTACAAGTTTGGTATCCGAAGATAAAAACGAAGAGATAAACGAAACATGCTCAATATTATTTCTTTGTTTCTTTTCGGATAATTATCCTAAATTAAATTTGATTATGTTTGAGTTCGATAGGAATCTCCTTCATACTTAAAGTTAGTAAAGTGACGGGATAACTGTTGGAGTTAACTGAAAAGTTAATCCACGGCAAAATCTTTTATCATTATTCGATAGTGTTGATGCATACGTGATGAGATCGTCAGATGAAGAACCGATGAGCATGGTGACATCGGATCATCCAGGTGTTGATCTCCTATCAACGCATGGATAGATTCAGCTGCAGAAGACGTGGAATCAGTCTGCAGATTACACGATGAGATCATGCGGCAGGGAATCGTACGAACATGGCATATTACCGGTTCAAGAACATGGGATGTCAGTGAGCGAGACAGCATCTTAGATGAGCTAACGTAGATGTTGTATTCAACAAGTGGATTGGACATAGTGGCTGCCAACGATTGGATCAAGGTTTTGATGCGGAGAACATATGCATGTGCAGCCTCTCGCTTTGATGCTTCAGACACAAGGAAGAAGAAGAAGATCTTTACACGCAGCACGAAGTTGCAGACAGAGAAGAAAACATGGCTATGGGGATTAACTATATCTAAACTGTTCTGTATCTTTTCTGAGACACAACAACGAACACCTGTCATATGGCGTCGGATTTGGGCTTCCCGTTGCTCATCTCCGTCTCCGCCTTGCCCACATGGACGTCCTCGTCCGCGATGAACTTGCTCCAGAACCAGTGGGACCTCCAGACCAGGATCATCTCCTCGATGGGCACGTTCTTGGTCTCGGGCAGGAAGATGGAGATGAAGGTGGTCATGATGAGCACCCACCCGGCGAAGAAGTAGAAGAGGCCAAACTTCATGTGGCAGAGCATGGTGAGGAAGGCCTGCGCGATGGCGAAGGTGAAGAACATGTTGACGGACACGTTGATGCTCTGCCCCGCCGACCGGATCTCCAGTGGAAATATCTCGCTAGGAACCAACCAGCCCAGGGGACCCCATGACCAGGCGAACCCGGCGACGTAGATGCAGATGAAGAGCACCACGAAGGCCGCGTAGGCCTTGGACAGGTGCCCCTCTCCGTTGGTCCCGAATTTGATCGCGATCAGCGTCCCGACGATGATCTACAGACGAAGGAGGAGGAGGAGGATGTGTTGAGTGCACTGGGTTTGTAGATAGATTGCGTGGCGTGGAAGAAGAAGAAGAAAAAGAAGGTACCTGACAGACGATCATTTGGGCGCCGCCCTCCAAGAAGAGCTTACGTCGGCCGAGCTTATCAACGGTGAAGATGGAGACGAAGGTGGCGAATACGTTGACGAGGCCGGTGATGACGGCGGACATGAGGGAGGCGTTGCTGCCGAAGCCGATGGTCTGGAAGAGGACGGGGGCGTAGAACATGATGACGTTGATGCCGGTGAGCTGCTGGAAGAAGGGGATGAGGATGGCCATGGTGAGCTGGGGGCGGTACTTGCGCTTGACGATGTTGGCCCAGGGGTGCTTCACCAGCTTCGACTCCTCGCTGGCGACCACCAGGTCGCGGTACTCGTCGTGGATGTCATCGGTGCCGCGGATGCGGCGGAGCATGCGCTGCGCCTCCTCGGGGTACCCGCGCTCGATCAGGGAGTTGGGGGTGTCGGGGAGGAACACAGAGCCGACGGTAATGATGGCGGCGGGGACGGCCGCGAGGGCGAGGCTGACGCGCCACCCCCACCCGGCCTTGATCTTGTCGGTGCCGTAGTTGATGAGGCTGGCGGCCAGGATGCCCACCGTGATCATGAGCTGAAATCCGATGTTGAGCATGCCACGGAGCTTCGCCGGCGCCATCTCCGACAGGTACACCGGCACCGACTGCATCATTTTGTCCAGACCAAACCCATAAGACCATCTTGTTAACATCAAACGTCACATCCCACCGTGATACAATTCCAATCACTCGATAAAATCCATTATATAAACAACGAACATCAAATTTCAACTCAGTATGTAAAAGATACTATAGTAACAAGATTTATTGGTTCACAGTCATTAAAAGGTCGCTTCAGGAGAGGAAGAGTGATAAAAAGGAAGCAGAGAGGTGGTGATGCGAGAAGCAAGAACATGGGAGGGAGGCCTCATCGTGCCATGCAATAAGAACAATTATGGACCATAGGATTCCCCTCTTGTCTTATCTACACTTATCCTCCTCTTGTGGCCAATTACATATGGAGATATCTACTTTTGACTTTTCCTCCTCCGTCCCATAAGCCAAGAAGAAAAGAGGAAGAAAGCTCGGTTATCCCGAAGACAGTGACCATATCAAAACAGTGTGAGGTGAGAGAGCTGTTTCCTATGAGCGATGAGATGATAGAAGTCCATGAGAAATACAAACAACGATTCAACCACTCCGTCTTTTATTCTACGACGGATGGATTTATTTATGGCACGTAATGCAAAATAGTCAACATAGTGGAGCAGCGTTTGGTTGACTGGGAGTCACAGCGGGACCCACCGAGCCAAGGGAGTACCTGGTTGGCGAAGCCGACGCCGATGCCGAGGAGGATGCGGCCGAGGATGAGCATCAGGACGTTCTGGGCGGCGCCGTTGAGGGCGGCGCCGACGAGGAAGGTGAGGCCGCCACCGAGCATGGACCACTTGCGGCCGAACACCCTGGTGACCGTGGCGGCGAAGAAGGAGGCGACGAGGGCGGCCAGGTAGAGGGAGGAGGTGAAGGTGGTCAGCAGCTGGCTGTCGAACTTGCAGTACTGGTTGGTTGTCTTGTCGTCCTCCTTCTTCCGAAACACTTCCGGGAAGAACTTCTTCAGGAACGGATCCATCGACGTCACTCCACCTATATATATACACACACACACACACACAGTCAAAGAAGAGACCAACAGGAGTTTAGCCAGAAGGAGAAGAAGAAGTGAAGGACGCGATATCCACCTGAGATGCCGATATCGTAGCCGAAGATAAGCCCACCGGTGGCGGCGACGACGCAGGTGATGAACACGAAGAGGGTGAGCTTCCCGGGGTACTCCTTCCCTCCCCCGGTGTTCACGATGGCACCCCCCGCCATTTTCGACGACACAGTCTCCTGAGACACAGAGAGAGAGAGAGAGAGAGAGAGAGAGATGGAATTGGAGAGAAGGGGGAGGTGATTTTATAGGTGTTGTGCGAGTGGGTTTGGGTAACGTGGTCGAGATTTAATCTTGATTTCTCCTTTTATTAATTCTCAGACAGTTTATATATATATATATATATATATATATATATATATACATATATATCTGATATTTACTTACAGTTGTCACGGGAATTATATACTTGCATTATATAGTCACAGTTACATGCATGGGCCCCACAATGCTTGGTTTTGTCATGTAGTAAACAGGCAATACACAACGCCACTTGTTACATTGCAAGTATCTACGGGTTGACTACAATTTTGAGACGATGCGAGTCATCAAAGTAATGTGAATGAGTAAGAAGGTTTAGAGAGCTGCACATGATGTCCATCCAACGTTTTATATTACTACTAACTCGAGAGGGATACATATCCTACTCATCACGTAGCTATCAAGACACCAATTATATACGAAAGAAAGCGGATCGGAATGAGATGCTTGACTCTTTGGAGGCTTGCCACCAAAGTCTACCATGTCATATATGGACGGGTGAGACGCCATAGAACAGGGAAACAGCAGACATATCATCTTCCTATCAAAAGACACGTAATAACTACGATACAAGTCAAGAAGTCAATCAGCGGAAGCTCTGGCATTATTCCAACATGGATATGTTACGAGACCAGGGGACTCTGTTCATGGATGAAACCCCCTTGTGGCTTCTTTCTTTTTTGACTGCGGATTCTTTGTGTTCCCATGCCCGTTGAAACCAGGTGGTTTGGTTGGATTTTTCTTTCTTCCATCCCACACTTGTGCCATCTAAGTCTTGTAACAAGCAATCTCTCTCGGATGCACTGAAACATTCTGGGGAATCCATGAACGCCTGTTGACAATTGATCGCACCAAGATTAGTACCCGAGTATTTGAATCTATTAACTGCTTATTGCATGAGAGATGAGGACCATCAGTTCTCCGATCAAAACTAAATATTCACTGGATTTAAGACAGTAAAGATAGGTGCTATCAGATGATAGATAGTTCTTGATGGGGAGGCGCCAAGTCCATCGACTGGATTGCCAGCCGAGTACTACCGGCTGCATGAAGTCAACCCACATTGCGGTCAATTTGGGACATCGGCAACAGATGCACTGTCGCCTACAAATTCCAAGCAAGCCGAGGGAGATCACATTGATCCACCGAAGATCCAGCTTGACTTGTATGCAGGGGAGAGAAACACGCAAGTCGGCGTCGACTCCCCATGCGATAGAAAAGCACAGCTGTGGCCTGCAGTCGAGCTCGGATGGGCGTCGTTTCTTTGGCTTCTACCGCTGGCTCATGGAAGCATTGAATCAAATAGTTGGTGAGCATCTCACCGGGATCCACCCTGTCATGGAAAAGAATGGATGAGATATATCGATTCATATGATTTTATGTTTGTTTGATTGACCAATTCTCATGAGCTACGCCTATACAACAAAAGATTGGGTTCCGCTATGTCACACCATACCCAAAGACAGCGGGGCTCACGATTACGAAAGTCAACTGTTGTCTCGGTGACACCGCTTATTTTGTTTCTTAGGATATGATTATCTAATGGGATACAACTGACCTACTTAATGAATTTACACCGAAAGAATGATAATGCGACTTCATAAAAGACTAATATAACTCAGAATTGCTGGAGATTTGACAGAGAGATTATGACAGAATACCCTACACATGATTCGCATCCGAACTCGGAGACGATCACATCAAGATCACACTGCTGAGGAAGGGACTCGTGGCTACCATGCTCGTCGGCCAACACCTGTCTCAGCTGCAGTCACTTTTGTAGCCTGCAATATATCGTCGATCAGCTCTGAATGCGCTGCAGTCTTCTCCACCTGCTCATCAGTTGCCATTTTGCAGGAAATATGTGGGACAAAATTGATGAATATTATAAAGTATGCCCACAAATATCAGATGATGCATGACACCAACAAAGTAACATGAGCATTCTTGAGAGAGAGAGAGAGAGAGAGAGAGAGAGAGAGAGAGAGAGAGAGAGAGAGGAATCAAAGGAACAGAAGAATCAAACCAGTTGCATGTCATTTCAAGCCACTGGAAAAGTGAGCAAAAATAGTGGGCTTCCTGCTTCCACGGATTTCCAGCATCACCACTCTTAATCTATAGATACTATTCCAGAGGTCCCCCTTTAAGACAGTTCTAGCCACAAGTTAAATCTATGAAGCAGAAGCTTGTACTAAAATTCTAGACCCCATACCTTAGAAGCATATGTTCAGACTGGCATCGTTCCTTGGAAAATCCATTGTCTGACATCACCCTGAAAAAGAGGATTAGCCAATTAGACAGCTACTCGCCGACACACACTTCGATCATGCCACTGCTCTATATATCAATCAGAACAAAAGAATTCATATGATTCACATCAACCAAGAGACACTTTATGGCCAATTTTTCTTGATTTTTTCCTCTTTAAATCGAACAAATAAAAAGAACACAGACAATAACATGAGGAAAATAAAGTTGAAACAATCATTTATATTTGTAGCAAAAGGCTAAACATAATATGCCAGTTTCTTTTAAGAATCAACAACCGTTTGTTGCATGATCAACATAAACTTCATTAGACAGAATGCAACTTACCACACATCACCACTGCTTCTATCATACCATAGAAATACTGAATGAACGAAGGGACTGCTGCAAACAAAGAGACAAAATCATCAGAAGAAGAGTCGGCCAGGGACCTCCATGAATAATCTGGCTGCACAAATCCAATGGCCATTGTCTAAAGAATATTTTAGATCCCTGCCGCCAAGGCCTCATACATCTTCATTTTTACAAAGGGCTGATTGGTATATTCCGGAATGTCAACTACTGGCCACAAGCTCCATCTTCAACAGACGTGGCCCGTCCACCAGCACCCATGAATGTTACCTCCATATCCCAGTATGATATAATTGAGACCACCGCTTCTCCTTCCCCCACAACTAACAATCCTTCTCCCTGAAAAACCTAGCATTAGCGTTAGAGGTCTCAGCTCGACCATTCTCCTCAAACCTACCGAGCAAACACCCAACTATGCTGGAAAGCCAGGCAATCATCGGAGAGACCGATATGCTGCAAACCATGCAGCAGGATGCTCTCCGTTTGGCTGGGAAGGCACTGGATGAATTTGATGTCACAGACTCCACTGAGATAGCCTGTTTCATCAAGAAGGTAATTTCGAGTATCTTGGCTAACTAACAAAGAACCATCCATTCATTGTCTTGTTTCCTCTTCCTCTTACAATGGAATTTGTAAAACTGCAGGAGTTTGACAAGTCATATGGTCCAGGGTGGCAATGCATTGTGGGAACAGATTTTGGTTCCTTTGTCACCCACCATTGTGGTTGTTTCATCTACTTCAACATAGGAAGCCTAGCAATCTTGCTCTTCAGGGGTGCAGCGGCTCCTGAGGCTGACACAGGCCTTTTGGTAGCTACGGAGGCAGTGAAGGCATGAGCTCTTCCCTTTTATCTTCTGAGCTCATAGTAATTTGGCAATTGATGAATGAGAGAGAAATTGTAGTGAAAATTACATTTTGTCTCAGTCCCTGATGTTCTACTTGCACAACTGAGTCACCCTCTGCAGAAACCTACAAGAATGAACAAAGAGAACCCCAAGAATGTGAGAGAATTTGACACATAACAAAAAGCAAAAAATTGATCATTTTTTTAACACACTAGTTTGCAAGAACGTCTGCAGAGACAATTCATGTCTGCCTAGGTCAAAAGTTCACAACCTGAATTAATGGCAAACATCAATCTGTGGCACCTCCATCAATGTGAAAATAACACTTCCAAATACACATTTGTTAGTACTAGAATTTCACAAATTGATCATTTATAGCAGTTGTTGTTCTAAACTAACTGAAGACTGCCACACCATAAGATGGAGTCCCATTGAAGCACCATAATTTTCCTACTTATCTGACCTCACAAATGTTACAGGCAGGTTCCAGCATCAAGATGATGACTACAAAAATGTGTCCGCTTCAGTTAGCAAATTTCTTTCAGATCCACTGGAATATTTAACAAGAAGCTAAATTAGATCACACTAATAGCTCAGATAATAGGAATTACCCAACATCCTGACAATTAATCGACCTATGAAATAGAGAAGCCTTCTTAAAATTAAAGCCCGAAACATCTACAATATAAAAGTCAGTCAGGAAGGAGAACGAACATTGCTTTGAACTTGATGACCATCCATGGGCGAGTACAAAACATCTCCCTAGACAATAGCCATTAACAAAAGGGCAAATCCTTGCCTTTAAGTAACTTAGGGTTAGGGAGACCTTCCATTGCATGCCTCTGTCACTGCTACCAGAAAAAGCCACTGAAAGAGTTCAAGTCTTTTACTGTAGATACCGATATAGAATATACTCAAAAGGGACAGTCAGCCGAGAATCCTGAAATAGCAAGACTTCATACTTTATTGCATATCTTTACAACAAGACCAAGAGCTTCATTCATAGTTTCATCGATCAGGAAGTCAGTCTCGCATATGTTCATCATGCAATGACGGATAATATGCATTTATTTCTAAGATCCCATGTAGAGAGATATGATAACGGTAGTGCTGGGTGCAGATAAATAATTAACTAGTAAATGGATAGAGTAATAAAAAAGTTGCCAAATTTGAGAAATCAGTTGCAAGATAGGAGTAAAAAAAGGAATTTAGAGTGATTTTCTCATATGCTTTGGAGAATGGTGTTTCTAGAGAACATTCGATGTCGATAGAACAAGGATTCATGAAAAGATATGCACTGGAATAAAATGACCACCGCCCTAATGACAAAAGAAACTCATCATATGTGATCGGTACATATATGCTTCAAGACAGTGCAGCTGTGCTGATCTGCTCCCATTCAACGAGACGAAAAAGAGGATACTGCTTAAACAAAAAAAGAAACTCATCCTTCAAAATGGAGTGACAATGAGAGATGGCAATGGAACATTTCTTTTGGAGATGAGGAAAAGTGTACAAGAGAAAATGCAGGAAAACTGGATTACAGTTTACTGTACCAAATTAATATGAAATAAACATCAGAGTCGGGAAAATCACCTGAGCAGGAAAGTTGAGAATTGGTTTCAAGAGACCAACAGTGCTAAACTAGCACTAAAAAATATAAGCTTTGGAAAGATAGATAAGTGCACGAATTCAAAACATTCTTGGTTTAGCTAAAATGCTTAAGATGTTAGCAATTAACAAACAAACCATTGTTAAATTTGTAGACAGACATAAGAAACAATTGCCTTGGTGAACAGACACCTTAAAAATATTGCCAAATGTAGCAGGGTGAAACTTCATCCTAGTAAAAGATTTTCTCCAACAACTGATGCTGCCGAGCATTGATCAATGTGATATATTAGCAGCTGTACTCGGTGGACCCATTAAGGTTCTTCCATATGCAGCTCAATTATATTTTCAAATGAGTTTGAAGATTAGACTGCACAGGGAATTCATCAACTATCAACAGCTGCGAACCCCTTCTCTCAAGAAAATTAAAATGCAGACCCAATTGCTTCAGCTAATTTTTTAAGAGGGCTAGTGCCGTCTGACCGTATATGTTCAAAGATAGCAGCTCATCTACCGAATGCCGTTTAAATAAGATCACTAGCGCATTTAATTGGAATCTCTTAATTTTTTCTTTTATCAATGACATTGCATCTAAAAGTTAAAATAGGTAGATACGAGACGAGCTTAATTTATTATTAACACTTCCGGGTAGATTACTCAACCAAACATGTGGGCATTAATTGGGGATATATATTTTTTATAAACGTTATCTGGACGATCATAATTAAGATTCTTAATAGAATCAAACATTTCAAATCAACCAAATGAATGAATTAAAGAATCATCGTGATAAAAGCGAGAGAATAACACATCTTCTAAACCTAGTTGAGGTTATAAATTTACCCCGAAGTAACCGCACCGCATCGGATCTGACAAAATCCTTAGACGATAAACCTATCAGGCAGCAATCGAAAGAGAACAGAGAAAGATACGAAGAATCTCAGATCCATCGACTACTCAAACCGGGAGAATAAGATGGGGAGTGATCACCTAGAAGGGATCAACCTCCTCCTCCTCCTCGTGGAAGGGGGTTGCTATCACGACGCCTCGCCGCGAGCTCATCCTCCCACGGGCCGACTTCTCTACAAGACGCAAAAAGAATATGGAAATAGATGAAACAAAGTCGAGCTTGTCGTCGCATCGTCCTGCAAGCCGATCACATGTGTACACGCACAACTAACTAACTAAGAGTGCTCCGGTAGCTTCGATTATATTTATTTTATAAAAAGGGGTCCAAAAATAGAATTTTTTTTTTATATTTAATACAACACAAGGCAAACTAGGTTGGTAGATTCTATTTAGGAATGAATGATTTATCTTTCCAAACTCCATTTGATGATCGGATCGCGTTTGATGAATCCGAAAACTCTTATCGATATTCTTGCAATTTTGTGGGGTTTTTGGTTCTCTATAAAAAATTTCATATGACATGAATCTTGAATTCTAGGATGATTTGGATGTGAGTTGTGGACAAGAGATCCTATTTAGATAAGAGATGAAGCAAAGTAGAATTCTAAGCGTATAATGATGGAGTTTAAAACCAATGTCAGTAGTTAAATGACGAAAACCTAGGGATCATTAGTAAAAATTTATGATCAACAATTCTTTTAATAGAAAATCCAATCCAGATTCAGGGCCAATCAATTAATGCCCTCGAAAGAAACATGATTGTTATCAAATAAACTAGATGATCAAACATTAATGCATAAACTTGTCAGATGCATAAAATAATTAGTGGATGTTGCTGAATTATTCAATATACACAGATGACCAGTAAAAAACAACACTGAAGATAGATTGCGGGTAAGAGAGTAAAAGATATCTAGTAGTCAAAACCTCATTTGTAGAGATTGCGGACCTAAGCAAGGACGAAGTAGACCATTCCAAAATACTGAACTCAGACAACTGAGGAGATCTGCCGCACATTCCGACAAGTCATATCTTGGTAGCTCTCTATAGCAAGCAATACCTCAAAAAATCTCTATTATATCTCTATCCACTCTTTTTCATAGCAGCCGCAGAACAGGTTTGCTAAGAACCCACAGGTGCCCCTCTTCATGGCATAGACGTTTGTAGAAGTTTCTGCTTCAAAGGAGCTGGAGAATCTCAATTGCAACTAAAAAAGAAGCATGAACAGCATCAATAACAATTATGGTAGAAGGGGGGTTAGCTGTGTGCTGAAGAGATCACCAAGAGCTCCACGAACTTCCATCTGAAATAAAAAGGAAATGATAAGAACAACATTTCTTGCCAATGACCAACAAAATGACCAATAACTAATTAGGTAACTAAGCATATTGGTTGATGAATGATCTATTCCATGACAACAACACGTATACCCACATGCAAGAGAGTGCACGTGCACTCAAGCATGCACACGAGGTTCATGCAAATGTGTTTCCACATGTACATGCATTCGGCCAACCTGACCATCCAGTATTTCTTCAAAAATCCTCAGTAGGAAACAACCGCTTGCAATGTTAAGCAGGAATACATACTCAAGATACTTAATAAATATTTTGCAAGTGACAAACATCGATAAGTGAGCCCAATAGTTTGAGCCCATTGCTTCAACTTATTTGGTATGATTCATTCAGAATACTAAAAAATGAGAACTAACCTGATCACAGCATACGAGTTTGGTAATTAGTGGATAGAACTCTCTTATATGCTTTCTGAATATTAAATTATCCATACAGCACATTCCTTTGAGTACCTGAAAGGCCAACCAGAAGTACTACGTTTTGTAAATCATGAGTCAAATGAGAACATAGAGCAGCATAAATTATGCTTTTAGCAATCTAAAAATTTAAAAAGGTAATGACACTGCCAGAAAGTAGGTATAATTAGTTCCCATTGCAGTGATAAGTTATGAAAGGTCACAAATGGAGAACTATAATTGATATCTGAACAGAAAAATAGCCCTTAAGGCAAATTCTTGGCTATAACAGCAAAATGTGGTGCTGTTACAGCAGAAAATGCTAGAGATCTAATTTTACTCCAAAAAACTGTCGAACCTAAGAATTTTCATTAACAGATAAGACATAGGATACAATTTTTGACAAGAAAGAGAAGAGGATGTATCCCAATATACATTAACAATTTGTAACCGCTTAGCAGAAATTTCAACTTAATGTATTCTTTATTATCGCATTCTTCTGTTCTTAGGTTTAACCTATGTATTAGTAACTTGGGCAACTAGCTTACAGAAAGACTCGGGATTCTATAAAAACCAAAAAGCAGTTCGTTAGCCTGTTCACTAATGGCCTAATCTAAGGTGGTTCACACTTCACATACCTCTAACTAGACCATTGCCACTTGTACGACTCAAAAATGCTTCATGAATACAATACTTTTGGCCCTACATAACAGCAAAAATATTGACTTGTTTGGCAAAATTGAAAAAATAGAGAGAAAAGGACCTATAGGTATCATGACTTTATGCTCAACCGTAAGCTAGACATTACTGCAACAATTTGCAATTCTGTGTATTATCTCATGGTATATGCTCACAGAATTTGTTAGCTAACTTGCTTCAATTGCGAAACTTCAAGATGCAAAACATCAGAGGCTTTGTCTGGAATAGGATTTTATTTGCTGATTCCTGATTTGTTGGTTCAACAAATAAAAAGACTTTGGCGATGAATGATCTGCGAGCTTGATACAGGGTTTGTGCTAAGCTTCAAATTTTGTTTAAACTCTGATTGGTCACTCCTTGAATATGCATCAAATTATTTTTCTTTTTGTTTGCTTTTTTCATTGATATTTTTTACTCTTTCCGTATCTAGAAGCCTCTAAATATTTATGTTCCTTTGAATCTTTCTCACTTTCAAATATTGTTTAAATGATGAAATCCTCATCCTCATCAATGATAATCATCTAATAATTTAACAAAAAATGTGGAACATTTCTGGTCAAGAGGCTCCACCACCTAATATGGACCCTTGTGGTAAAGATAAAACCAAAACTAGAGAAGTGAAATCTTGCCGATTACGAGGCTCTGATACCACTTATCTCCATTTGATGTTGATATAGAGAAAATTGGAATTCAATAAACATCGTGAAGTCTGTTCAGACCAATCTCTAGCTATAGACAAATGAAAGTGAACATACAGTTGAAAGTAGCAATAGATCAGATTTGTCAGAAGAAACACAGAAAACCAGTACTGGTTAAGTCGGAGATAATAAGACAAAAGAACTATTAGATGCAAGGAAACTACTACAGGCTGCTTGGCAGCAATTCCATTAAATCGATACTACCAAATTTGAGCCCAAACCTGTTAAGGTCGGCCACAGACACCAGAAGCAGCAAATCAGTGCATTGGTGAGATAGGGTTCCATCTTGTGAGAAGCCTAATCATAGTCCTAAAAGCCAAACTTTAAACCTTGTTCATTATAAATCTTTAGACTCCCTAATAAACTAATTTCCAATCATCTAGAGTCAACATTTTAGACATTGAAGGGTTGGAGGGTCTCATTATGCTGTAAGCATGACACTGCCAGCATGCCCGAAGCTAGCATAAGATAGCCAGTACCAGCACGGCCAAAACCAGCTGAGCATAAGACTCTAGTTTATGTTCTAGTTTATGTTTATAATTTTATATGAGAAGGGACTTCCATGAATTAGTGCATTGGTGAGATAGGGTTCCATCTTGTGAGAAGCCTAATCATAGTCCTAAAAGCCAAACTTTAAACCTTGTTCATTATAAATCTTTAGACTCCCTAATAAACTAATTTCCAATCATCTGGAGTCAACATTTTAGACATTGAAGGGTTGGAGGGTCTCATTATGCTGTAAGCATGACACTGCCAGCATGCCCGAAGCTAGCATAAGATAGCCAGTACCAGCACGGCCAAAACCAGCTGAGCATAAGACTCTTCATACCGGCTGAAACTTGAAAATTTCCAGGATAAAAATAAAATAAGTTCTAAGAACAATGTTCTTGAAACCATTACATAGCAACAAAAATCATGATTTCAGAGTTAATAAATACCCAAAAATATAAGAAACTGAAATTAGACCTGTTACAAGTTGAACTAACCATGAGCTAGGCTCGAATTTTACTGTAGCTGAACCATTACTATATATATTGAGGTTGACCAATCATAAACAGACTGACTACTCACTATACATGGAAGATTGCAAGATCACCACTTATACATTTCCAAAACAACAGATTTAACTAATCAGACTCTGAAACTAGAATCATATAGAGGAGTTACATGCCTAATATAAGACAGGTAATGTACTGAAGCATATGTTAAAGGATGGACGACTAAATATTACTGCAAAAATAATGAATTATCAACCCTTCTCCATAAGCAACAATCAGAGTAGCAAAATTTCTAACACAACAAACAAACGTATTGATGACATACTAGCATGTATAATAGAAAATACACATTAACAGCCTCTGCTTACCTTAACAATGACCGGAGCCCTCATGTCAAGTACACGATGTAGATCCGTGCTACCAGTCTCCCCTGAAATTGGTTTGAGCTCAGAAGCCTCTTCTAAAATCTGACCACAGAAAGAAACTAGCTTCTCTTCTGCTATGCCTTTGAGCTTCTCTTCTGAATCTAAAGATCCAGCATAGCATGAATCATTGACTGATGAGGTCTGGACAAATGGACCATCAGAAATCCCTTGTTCATGACTGCTACCATTCTGTGTTGCAGTTGACTTGTGTAAGATTTCTAAATAAATGGATGTTCCTGTTATTTCCTGGCGAAGAAGATTTAGAGGAAGCCTGTGCAACACCAACCATAAATGGAATTAAGACTCTGGTTGTCAAACTAACCAAGCTATCTCTAAGACTCAGGCTTCAATACCTTTCAGAAGGTATATATTGCATTCGCAATATAAGGTTTGACGAAGAATTATATGAAGCAGCAAACTCTACCAGGGACAATAAGGTATCCATTATTGCAATTTTATGAGAGACCTTTAATTTACTCCAGTATCTCTTCTGAAATGTTCAAACACATCAACTAAGAGACTAATCATCAACAAAATATTCGGCAAGATGATGCCGACTGTTTGACGTTTATCTTTACCTGTATGCTATCAATAGCGCCTAATAGTAAAAGTTGTGTAATGCATTTTCCTTTGATGGTTGCCATCATGGAATTCTCTTCATCATTATCATCCACAACAGGTTCTGCAGCATCAGGGATCTGCAGAGACATTCCAGACACAAAATCAAGTAGATAGCATATCAAAATGGAACAAAATTTATGCAGAGATGAATCCCATGTTAAGCATAAAAAATGAGAGAATTCAAATTCAGTACCTACATCTCTTAGACTGTTGTACAAATCTATTCAACAAAAATAGAACGCACTAGTCAGTCAGCCCCAGAGATTTTTTTCCGTCACTGTCAGAAAGCTTCACTTAAAGAAATATCACTATTCAAAGTTGGAGCTATCAAATTGTTTTTACATTGTTTCAAATAAAGTCTTTAGTCTATCCCCCTCGTCTTGCACCAATAATCCAATTTAGCTTTCCTCAATTATTTGATTATCTAATGGTCTTATTTTGGACATATATCTGTTATTTTAAATGATTTCTTATTTTATTATCAGCAATAAATTATTTTAAATTATTTCTGTATGATCTAGATAATCAAGGTTTAAATGTGAAAACAATTTCCCAATCTTACAAAGGGTAAAGATACATTCATTACCTCCACCCGAATCCCACATTGACGGAAACCTCATGCACTAGGCCGTTACTTTTCAAGTAACTCCATACAATAATTTCAACTTTCTCATCTCAAAATCCTTGACTCTTTATTTATGTTATTTTCTAACTACCCAGTATCATGATTCACAAATTATAGATAGCTCACATCTATTCTATGTATGTCATATAAATTCTTCTATTAATATTGCTGAAAAAGCACTTTATACTTTGGTCTTAATCCTTTGCAATCTAAAAACCATAGTTTCAAAAGTTTCTCTGCATAGCTCAAGTTTAAATTTAATTGAAATAATATCATCTGCAAACAACATATAACTTAGAAGTTTATCTGGAATACACCAAGTATATTCATCCTTTATCAGTGTGAAAGGTAAGGGTCTTCTTTAGTTGAACATGGATTTATTCTTCCGCTAAAGGAAAATATATTGAACAACAATTAACGTCAAATAATGTACAACTAAAGGTGTTTGATTATTCCCCATCTACAACAGTGTTTAATTCAAACAATTAATTAAATCTGTAATCAAACATTCTACAAGCAGGAAAGAAGTAAATACTTTCTTTGTTTTTATTTTCTTCAGAGATGGATATCTCCATATGTGCGTCCCACATAAACATGGTAAATCAGCCACAACTTTGGGTTCTTTGCAAATAAACTAAAATTAGTTGCCTAAAACATCTAAGTTCTCATCTGATCACAAAGATGCAGTTTTGTAAACATGTAACTTATAAAAAACTAAATATAGCTTTGTAAATTTTAGCTTTACTATTAAACTTTTAGTCGCGGTTGAAAATGGAACTATATCTCATATTTTATAAACATTTTGTATCTAACTGGCTATTATATTCCAATCTCTATATAATTCATGTGATAAATCAATGACCAATCTAGCAAATATCCCATAAATTTATGAAAACACAATGAATCTCGACCAATGGGAACAGTGCACAAACTAGATTATTTCCAGGTAATAAAATGAAAATACACCTTTACAGGTGAAGCTGAAACTGGACTGAGATCACTTGTGCGATTCTTTGATTTGGAGGTAAGACCTCTAAGCAAAAGGTTGTCCATCATATTACCCATGATCCTTTGGCCAAATGTTTGACTACGCTGATAGTTTGCAGCTTCAGCAGGCTTCTTCAAGTTACCTGATGGTGACGGATGTCCAACAGAAGAGGTAAATGATTATTCTGAAAGAAAGGCAATGAGAATATCTATGCTTCAAGAGGCACAACATAGCACTCTAGTATAGTCCCACAACTCTATGCAGGTGAATATGCCTCTTGTAGGTACATCTAATGGAATACACTAAATAGTAACAAACCATCAGTTTCCTCGAAGTTTGTTTGGAGATTGTTTTCTTCATAATCATCCTTGGAGTTAATTGTGCTGATTGTATTTCCAGCAGCGTTACCATCAGCAGATAAGGATTCATGATCCAAAGCTCTTCCCCCTTCCATTTTGTGATTGTTCCTGAATGGACTGCCACCATCTTTGGCATCTGTATCTTTAGAATCTTTGGATAAAACTGTTTGTTTTTTTGAGTTCTCAAATCCCAAAGAATTGAGAAGTTCGAGAGGTTGAGTTGTGTATGATACATCTCTGCAATTCCACATTTATACAAGAAAGGAAAGAAAAATCAGAACAAAAACGAGTAATGCTACAAGAGAAAAGTTCACCAACAGCATACCTAATGCCTTTCAATAAAGTATCCCAGTCACTATCACTGAACTGATGGCCCCCAACTTCTATAAGATGTACTAAGGCTCCAAGAGAGATGGAAACCACACTTTGGTCCGTTTTCTTGGCACAATCAAGTAGAAAACTCAGGAGTGGTGGAAGCATGAAAGATACTTCCTGAAGAGAGCCAGAACAAAAGAGCACATAAATACATAATAAGCAATACATAGTAAGATCCTTTTACAAAAAAAAATTGTAAATTGAAATTGTAGCTCAAAGGAATAAGGGGCATAAGGATAATTGATGAAGTTTATAAGATGAAAAACACATGCAGATATACATGAAATGGTTCACATAGCTCAGTGAAGGAAATCAAAGATAGATACCTTATAGAAAGTATTAAAAAGGTTGCAGAGCAACTGAAGTGAATGGATGCTAGTTTCTCGAAGCCACTCATCACCTGAGGAGACAAGGCCATCTCTTCCAGCATTTCGTACATGGTCAAATATAGGAAAAAGGACTCGGTGAAAAATGCCCTCCCAAAAAGCAGAAGAGAATTTCCGCCCTCTCTCATTCAACAAATCAAATAGCACTTCCAGTGCACAGTTCCGAACTTCCAATCTAGAATCCAATGTTAAATCAGATAAACCAGCCAACATGGGAAACCAGTAATGCTCGGTTACATCAAAGTTTGTCTCTAGCCCACCATCCACCGGTTTCAAGGCTCCACCAGGTATAAAGCCCTGCAGATACAAGAAGAATAAGAGAAACAAACTAAAAAGCCAAAAGATAGAGAATGCAAGCATGAAATATTAAGCTTCTGAAAGTAAAATATATTAAGAAAAAGGTACCTACTTAGTTTCCAACTTTTCATGGAGCATGATGATAATGCAAATTTTTTAGCAATCATGAAGAACAACAAAAATCTACAGTGACTATTACCATGAATTAGCCAGATTTTAAGGCATGCATTTAACACTTCAAAACTATAAGATGACAAATTTGAGCAGATATAAAACCTTTACAATTATGTAATCTGAATTAATGAAGTGAAAGATTTATAGTTGTCATCTGTGAAGGACGAACCTAACCAACAAAGTTCCCGCCAATGGGGGAGACGATTAATATGTGCAGTCTTTGCACTATATTTCTATATTTAGAGAGGATCAATATAGTTGTCATTTGTAGGTTCACCTAATTCTAAAATCACATACATTGGACGAAGAAAATAAAAAAATGTTTTTAGAAATAGAGGACAATTAAAGTAGTCCAATCATTTTTTAGTACATATGTGAAAAAATAAGTAAAAATAATAGTAGTAACATGATCTTACACATTAACAAGTACAAATTAGGATGTTGCATATCACTAGACAAATACACAAAAAACCAATTTCATGATACCAAGACAAACCTTTCAGCTAAAACACTTTACCAAAATACTGACAAGTCACAAACTTCAAGATAATCCACTTTCTACCAATTTTGCTGCTTCATACATATATAGTTATCAAAGTAAACCAGAACTGCTTTTTTAGATTCAACTAAGATCAAGGCAGATAATGTGAGCTAAGAACCTCACAACTGACAACCTGATCAAACATCCTCCTGAGGTAGTTGACCATGTGATGCCATTCTACAGATATCCCAGACTTCTATCAACTTCTCCAACTTAACGATTCATGAAACAGTGTCACATTAACAATGTCTTTTAAGATAATTAATTAAGTCCAATGGTGCAGTTTTATGTAATGAGCACAAAGATAACTTGAAAACCAACTGAACCATGGACACATCAAATACTGAGGGCTTCTGAAATATCACGTGTCAAAAACTAGCCCTTCATGACTATTCAGTAACTAATGAAAAAAACCATAAAGTATTACTGCTTGAATTTATCTCGAACATAGTCACTCACACATAACAAGGGGCCGGTTTTAATAGTAGTAGAAATTGAAGTATTTGTCTAACCTTTTTCGTCCACCTTACCCTGCCTTACCGATTGCAAGCCCTTCGATCAATTATTTTAAATATCCTGTTTGTTAAGAGGAGAATACACTGTCTCTCATCTTAGCAGTTATTTTTAGACTTTTTGGTTGTGTTGATGTGAAATAAGTACACATTATGCATGTTGTCTGACAAGAATGAAATAAAAGCATCTCGTTTCAGGTGACCTAAATACCTTATGTGGCTTAATGTTCATTGGGCTGTGTTGAGAACCTGGCTATATGTGAGTAGTTTAGCAGTTTAACAGTTTAACTACAAAAGTTGCATTCCTCATGCCTGTATAAATATTATGAAAAGTTTATTGCATAGCTTTCAATAAAGTCTAAAACTCAACATGATAAAGAGTGGAATCAACAAACTCCAAGAACCAAAAAGAAAGAAAAGCTGCAAGTTTTTCAACAATTTCATTGAGATTACAGTGACATCACATTGGCAGACAAGATAGAGATATACTGACTGCCAAGCATCTCACTGAATGATGTTGCATATTCCATAAATATATTGAGAAGAACAAGTTATCAAACAAAAACTCTTGCCAAACAATGTTTTTCTAGGTATGTTAAATGTCTATTTAGTTTAGACTTTAGATCATGTCTGAATATGAAGGTATGTTGTTGCAAACCTCTGCAAGACGATCTTCACATATACGGAGGAGAGCAATAGCCTTCAAGCTAATCCGTGGAGAAATTTTGTTATTAGCAAAACGAATGAGGCAATTGACACAATCCATAAAGCAGTCACCAACAACCTGATCAAAGTGCTCCAAGATAACTGCAAGAGTTACAGTATTAGATTCATCGAAAATCTAAAAGATTTGAACTCAAGATAGTGGGTTAAACTATCTGTTTTCTCACCCTGCTCAACATTCTCAAATGCACTTTCGACAATTGATTCCAACTCATCATCAGCAGCTGCAGTGAAGATCATGAACACACTCCGCCAACCTGATTTAATGCTACCAACCTTCGATTTGATCATCTGCAATGCCATCGCCAGCAGTTAATTCCTATGTGTCTCATCATGAACAAAGATGAGTATAACAAGCAGCATAATGGAAAATTTTAATGTGCAAGATTTACCTGAACAATGCAATCCACAATCAGGCCGCGTATTTTTTCATTGCGGCTATTCCGCATAAGAATGACAAAAGGTTTCAAAATGTCATTCTGGAAGGTGAAGTTGGTGAGTTCAGCACGCTCCAAATACTTCATACCAAGTTGTCTCAGTGAATCAATGGCATACATAGCAACTTTTTCCTCATGGTGGCTACCAGCAGCAATGAAATGCTGAGCCAAGACAGACCATATTCTAGCCCATACCTAAGAATGGAATATATAATAAGATGACATAAAGACTAACCACAAACAATCATTTGTAAAAGAATTACGAATATAATTTCATAATGAAGTTAAAGATAATCTAATTTTAACATGCATTTGTCAGCATCATGCACCAAAAAAAAAAAAAAACAAACAAACAGTGGACTCTTTTGCTCATCTAGATAAAGCAATGACTATGTGTTAAAGCCACCGAGCATAGGATGAGACTTCAAAAAGAAAGTCTATATATATGTTGCATTAACCTGTTACAAACATGAACATGAACTAAGAGATATTTTGGAGTTTCTATGTGTTGTCATATCTTCCAGTTTGGCAGCCAATATTGAAAGATACAATCATAATAGCATTAGGACCACCAAAATTCCATATATTAGCATAATTCAAGCATGTAGGAGAAAATAAAAAACAACAGAAAAATTAAAGCATTAAAGGAAAATGGAGTACCAGACGAATACGAGCCATATTATAGTAGCTTATCTCAACAAGCTTCTGTAGGCTGAAGACACGAGCAGGTGTTTGTTTCAATTCTTCAGCAGATACACCACAGAGAGCTGTGAAGAACTCCACAATTGCATCACTAGGCAATTTCACACTATTTACAAAAACTTGCTCAGCTGGCTTTCCAGCTAGCTCTCTGAGAGACTGAAGAACTGCATCCCTAGATATTTGATTGGATCCTTGCATCACAGTTGCAGCAATGGATGGGGTCGAAGTGATATATTCTAGCCTGGAGACACATTCCAAGACAGCATTCCAGGTGTCTTGTAGTGAATCCGTCTCCATATCGCATAAAACAAGCAAGGCACGTAATGCTTCCACATTTTTACTTCGCATCTCCTTTGGAGCATGCAAAAATGTAAATCTACACACAGTTTGGCAAAACATCAGATCACATTTTTTGCATACTTCATTATTGATATTAAGTAGATGGAACAAAATGATGTTAAATTCATTATAGTATCTTATAACATAATATTACAAAAGATCCTAAGAAAAAGCATACCGTACTAAGGATGTTAGGAAAGCATATCGCATTGTATCCATCCCAAGAACACGTGTTAGATGTATGCCAGCTCTGAAACCTTCCATGCAAAGAATAACCCTTGGCTTATTGTCTCCTTCCTCCAATGTGACAGAAAATGTAGCAAGCAAAGGCCAGCCCACGGCTTCGAGCATTGGTCTTACTAGGTCAATCTGCTGAGCTGTATAGAAAACACCCCTTTTTTCACCTTTATTTTTGAAAAGTGCCTGAATTTGCTTTTTAATCTTTTCACTCTCTGTCTTAGTATCAATCCCTGACTTCTTTTTCGGAAGAGCTAAATTTAAAATATTGACAAGACGTCCTCTCTCTTCTGTTTCTGGCCGCAGTCTACTGCTTATAGATGCATCAGACTTATCGCTCTTCATCTTTATCTCTTCTCTAACAATTGAATCGTATATCTTCTCTAGGAGGTCCTTTGGAGCACACTCTTCTACATCACTCATAGAATTCATGCGTATGAAATCAGATTTAGACATTTTTGGCCAAACCATTGGATTGTGTGCATCAGTATTCAACATTATAACTGCATAGGCAAGAACATAAGCAGTATCTGCATTCTTGAAAAGTCCTGGATTATCAGCACAATAACTGCAAAACAAACATGGCTCAGATAAACGATCAAATGGAAAAGAAAATTGAGGGGATGCTAAACCGCTGAAGCAGCATCTCAAGATGTCAGCTACTATACCGCTCAGCAAACTTTTCCATGATCCGATCAATTTTCTGTGCTTCTCCAGGAAGTCGAAATCCTTTTAGAAACTCACGAATTGCAGTATCAAACTCTAACCCTGATAACTTCATGGAATCAACATAAGCATGCATAACAGCAAGGGGAAGTTCCTCATGCTGGCCCAAATATTCTCCAATCATGGCCTGACATATAAAAAAAAATTAGACATTATGTTTTATCAAAAACAAAAGGAATAGTCATAGGAGACACCTTATCCAAACTTGGAGTGGTCTTCAGGAATTGGGCTATTGCAGAAGCCTTTTTCTCGACCAACTTATTAGACAACAGAAATTCTATCCCTTTTGCTGGTTTACGATTGAACTAAAAACAAAGGAACGGGTTATTAACCATACAACTAGATATAACAATAAGATAAAAACTTTCTGAAACTAGAACAAAAGACTCATTACCAACAACCATCCTAGTTACCTCTAAGATGGCTGCTTCCATTGTGGATTTGTGAGATTTTGCCTTCTCAAATTGGTTTAGTCCATCATCATGGAGCTCATTAACTGTCCCAGGTTCTCTAGCCAAAACTTCCTCTTCAAGGGACCGAACAATGTTACCATGTTTATCAGTTTCTTTCCTTAGCTTCTCCCAATCAACCAATGATTTCAGCACACTCACTAAGCACTGCATAAAGTAAATAAATTGTTATAATTTGAAGATAGAAATAAAGATTGACTGAATATATCAGCACAGCCGCACAAAAATAATAGTTCTCTTTTAAAGAAAAGACAAAGACCTGAAGCGATGAGCCTTTAGCAGATGCAACCTGCATCGAAGAAGCTGAGTTGGGATCTGTAGTTTGAGTCCCTTGTGCTATCCTTGACAAAGCATTTACCTGTTTAGATCAGTGGAAACAAGTAGATTCTTTAAAGAATGGCACATTACAACCCCAAGTTATCACCATGATTTGCTTGGATCTTACCATACGTTCAAAAAGGTTTGGTGCCTGAAGATCACAATCATAGTTAACAAATATGTCTGCGAGCATTTGTGAATCCTTACACACTTTCTCAAGCATCCTAACAGAGAATCCAATTACAAGTTTCCATCAGCAATACAGAAAAGCTTACAGCACGAGTAAATGCCACTAGGCCAACAATGGGATATATGAGACAGTATTCCTATCAACTGAAGATAGAAGTGTGGGGAAGGAAAGGAAAAAACAGAACATATTTTTTAAAGCTAATATAAAAAAGAACAACACTTTACCGAAGAACACTTGTTCTTTGGCTGAGGGCACTCTCATTGCCTTCCAAGGATTTTAAGATTATCAAGGGAAAAAAAACACCAATTTCTCCCTGGAAATATACATATACATTAGCAACATCAGATCCAAGGAGATTGGTTTCTCCAAGACAGTCTAAAGGAGAAATTATATGACCACATAATAATAAGATACCTTAAGACTTTCCCTAAAACGAAGCAACAGAACTGCAAATATTCCAGTTGCATACTGCACAAGAAGATTAATCATAAAAGTTTTATCCTTAGCAAAATAAATGGCCATGTGTCAGTTGCTATGAAATGTGAATAATAGTTTTAGCAACTGCCCAGCAATTAGCAAATAATCAAGCAATAAAATTAATCAACAGGACAAGCAGCAACAAATAGGAAGAAATGATAACCTGAAAGACAACTGGAGAAGGAGAAATAGAAGCCCGTAATAAAGCATAAGAAAGATAAGCCTTGACAGAGTCAATAAAATGGAAATTTTTCGTAAAGGATTCGCTCACTCCTTCCAGTAAACCCTGCAATTAAAAATCCTTAAGTAATATCAAGAACACTAATAAACTCAAAAGGTCGAGGAGCATAAATGCATTGACTAAAAAATAAGAAAAAGTTAGAGAGAGTTTTGGCAGATGAAGCCTTCTAGCCTCCACATAATCCAAAACAAACTAACCTGCAAAAGCTCAAGAGACAAAAGTCTTGTCTTTGTAGTAACCTCATCTCCCTCTTCTTTCATCCCCATCTGCAAATATATACCTCAGCATGTTAAGATAGACCATACTGATTGAATGTGATATGAGATCATCTTCACAAATTTAGACCTTGCAAAGTGTTCGAAACAGCAATAATGCATCATGTTGCATGACAGTGCTCTCAAGATCAATCCCTCTGAAATAAGATTATATGATAAATTTGTTACATCAAAAAACAAATGAAGGCTTGTTCTATTTACATATACAAACATTTTTATACCCTGAGATTTTCTTGCCATCCTCAAGTTGAACAGCCTGGTCAAGAACAGCCTCTAGACCCTACAGATTGTTACTTAAAATAAGATGAAACCCTGATGCAGATGAGTTCCAAAGTAATCTGCAGAAATAATCACTAATAGTTTCATAGAAAATAGTCCTAAGAGAGAGAGAACCTTGATGTCTGCACCACCAGCCAAATTCTGGAGTTGCTCAAAAGATGGAGATGTCTCATTTGCACGATTCATGGTTAATGCATCTCCTAGAGTAATTTTCTTCTCATCTTGGTCATCTCTAGGCACTTCCTCGTAATCAGAATTTGTGGAGCTAGCTGATGGAATTTCACCATGCACATAACTATTGGATGGTACAGAAACCTAAACACCCATAGAAAATAGTTGGAACTTTTCTGGCATATTTTACATATTTACTAAACCTAAATAAGATGATAAGTCCAACCTGATCTACTTCCATTCGCCTAAACACAATACTGATCATTTGGGTCAACATTGCTTTTGATGTTGCCTGATTTATTGGACTCTTGCTGTACCAGATATTTATAGACCATAACATTAGCTAAGAGTTACTGAATGGACAATATAGGGGAATAAAAAGACTCGAGTACCTATTCAGAGCAATGTTATAGCATACTCTAATCACTCCCAGCAAAGGTTCTCCATGCACTGTGTTAAAAAAAAAGACTTATTTAGCGAAAAAGATAAGCAGCAGAGCTACAACAAAGATATAGTATAAGCAACTACAGACATAAACCATTCCTGCATATAGCCTGTCACTTCAGCAAATAAAAGAAAAAGATCCAGGATAAGGCACATTAATAATTCAAGCAAACATTTTGCAACACCAAATCAGACAAATCTATCGAATCGAAAAGAGATTTTAAGCTACAAAAGACCAGCAAAAACCTATGAGAAAAAGCTTTATTATAATTTTTTTAAAAATCAATTATCTGTATCAAAGATTGAAATTTCATATCGTACCAGTATATCGAGCTTTGCTCAGTACAGTACAACATACCGAGCAGTATATATATATATATATATATAAATATAATATAAAAAATATTAAAAGAAGGCGTATGTAGCCTCGACAACGTCGCCTTCTCCTCGTTGCCTCGTCTGCGACGTTCGGCGAATAAGGCAGCAAAGACGACGAAGGCTGCAGATGAAGAACGCGGCGAAGGCCGCAGACGTCTCTGGCCTTCGGCAAAGAAGAAAGCCACAAAGTCGCAGACGAGGCGATGAAGGAGACCGCCTCTTCTGCAGCTCTAATCATCGTCGCCTCCAGATCCTCCTCTTTACGACTCTTCTCATCGTTACCTCTCGTATCGGGATCATCGAGAGAGGGCGACGTCGGATCGGGATTGAGAAAGGGCGTGGAAACAAGTTCATGCCGAGGTTCTCTTGGTTCTCCCTCTTCTTCGAATGCCCTCTCCTTCTTCCTTCTTCGACGCTTCTCCCTCAGCTTCGTAGCAGCTAGGCCGCAGCCAGGCTGATACCGCCTGATAGCAGGCAGTAACGATCAAAATTTCGATCGTTACCGCCCGAAACAGCCCCATATCGTCTGATACGGGACTATATCGAGCACCGGGCAATACGATTCGAAATCGCAAACCTTGATCTGTATGACAAACACTTATGCATTATCGAAAAAGCAAAACAAGATGGAAAAAACAACTAATCCAAGCTTGATGACTTTAGTTAAGCATCTTATATCAAAACAAGAAACGAATCAGCAGCTTTACAAGAAGCTACAATTCCCTCTAGCGATGGCAATATTTTATATTTCATTTCGATCAAGTAATCTATGTGCATGTATATATTCATGCATAAATGCTACTCACAACATTTATGAGTCCTACTCAAGATTTGCTTATTATCTGCAATACTTATGTTAGCCGTAATCTCAAGAATGGTGACCATGAGATATTGGACTGACTTCATCCCACCTCTTCATGAAGAACGAAAACTAATTGTGTAATCCCATCGCCTGACTACCCCTTAAATGCTATCCTCTGGTAGAACAAAATATTCTCTTATCACCTAATTCCAAAAAAGACAACAGTCTGTTTTCTCATAACCATATTGATACAAGGCATATTCAAGGAATTGAGTAAGATTAATGAAGATGTACATTTCCTCAAAATAAAATGAGAAAAACATACATCTCAAGTCTACATGTAAAAAAACCAATTGACATAAATGCTATGGTGCATACAGTCAATTAGCTTGATCCGATCATTTTATTCAACCCTTGCATTTCAGATACATTACAAAGAGAAATTCTCATAACCACTCATGACTACTACTTTTGATGATTCACCTAAATTTAACAAGAAATAAGATCTAGCTGCCACAAACAAGATTTAAAATCTCGGTCTAATACCCATTTCATTATCTTGTCGGACAAATATGATACCAGCATCTGGCCAGTATATCAACTTGTACCATCTTGTATCACTAAGGAAAAATTAAAAAAATAAAAGAAAAACAGGTACCAAGCTATATGGTCAGAGACAGTTAATACCAGTCAATACACTCTGGACCAACTGGTACTTGAAAGTTGAAATTTGGCAGCAACAACAGCCAATTCTCTGCAACTTTTGGCAATAACAACCAAAAACCCTGATAAGAAACCTCTCCAACTCCAAGACAGGAACATAGACCTCTAAATGTGCTTAAGTGACTAAAACCAGAATGTTGTCGTCGAATTTGCAATTGTATAAAACTGAGCAAGATAGCTTCACCTTCCATTAAGAGAGAAATCGAGATGTAAGAAAAATACAGGGGCCAAACTTGCTAATGTTGTGAATTCCTATACATACTTCCAAAAAGTATGTTTACTCCCAAAAAGTATGTTGATGAGATGAAGATGAAAGAGTTGTCATGTAACATGTTGAGCTTATCATTTGGAATGATAAGTAGGAAGGATGGCACTACATCAGAAACTCCTGGGTTGTGGCAAAGGTGAATAATTCAGTCAAGCAACAAATGCTTAAAAACTATTTAAGTTGGCCATGTAACACACATATCTAGAATGTAAACCCAAGAGAATGATACATACCAACTTGAACAACAAATATTATGAGCAAAGAATTAATTTTATTATCTTTTAACTATTCAAGCATGTTTCAAAAGATGGTTCTGAAAGTAAATAACTCCCTCCTTGGAAAAACAAAAGCAGAAAAAACAATCTTATTAAAAGTACCTCTGAACCTTGTTGATGATACTGCTGTGAGAAGCACCTTTAAAACTTGTAATATAGTACTGCAAAGTTCCATGTGTGTCAACAAAAAAATTAAAAGAAATCATATGAAAGATATATCTACATATTAGAAGCAAATTTAAAAAATTAACCACCTGTCAGATGAAGAGTTATCAACACAGCCACAGACCATATTGAGAATATCAGTAAATAGTGAAGCATTTTTACCACCTTCCAGTCCAGGATCACCCTCTAAATGATCATAAGCTATAAGTTTCTGCCAACAGGCCAATTGAATCAGATGCATTCCTAGTACTATAAGCATCAGAGCATAATGGTCAAAATTTTCTGACAATAGCATGAGGAAAATGAAGTAGTCAAAGAAGAAACAAAAAGAAAATGACATGATAGTATGCAGTCCAATTACAGCATTACCACTGTGAGTCAAATGTGGAGGACAGAATTTATCACAAACTAGCAGCATGTAGAGGAACATGCTGAGCTTTACATTATGTAAAGTTGTAAACAAAACATAAAAAAGAGAAATGGCCAAGAACCAAGCTTCCTGTAATGCAGGCCCCAGTAAAAATCAACCCTATAGTTAACAAAAGAAAAAAGACAAACTACTACTTAATGTTTGTGATGGATGACCTTCACGAGCATTAGTTCATATTGCTTCCTCCAAGGAATCTTTATAGTCTCCGTAAAGGAGGTCTTTGACTCTTTATAGTTGCTTTTTAAGACAGCAATCTTTTGAAGTCCTAGGAATGTTGTTTGTCCAGGATTGGTATACCAGTTGTATTGCTATGTACCACCCCAGTATTTACCAGTCCAATTAGACACTGGTAAGAGTGCATATACTTTGGTACTAGTCGATATTCGTTTTTTTTTTTTTTGCCATTTTTCATTGATACCAAGGGGTACATGTCGGTATACCATTTAGCATACCAGTAATGTATTGATCCAATAACCTCACAAAACCAGTATCGGACGGGCATTTAAATCCTTATTGGTTGTTAACCTCAGCTTGGTCCATCATGAGATACAAATGTTGATGATGATTGATGACAAGGTTATCGGAACCCTTGTCCAGTAACAACTGATGTCCAATGTTTAAGCGGATAACTAAGGAAAACTAAAAAAGAGGTTCATCATGTTCTTGCTACTCGAAGAACAGAAAAAAATAGTTCCGAAAGAAACAAAAGGGATAAAAAATTAGAGGGAAGGAACAATAACAAAACTAGATGAAATAAAGGAAAGATATGGAGTACAAAAAAGTGAATTAACAAGACAGGAAGGATGGTGGCCCTCTGGAATTATATTGATGAAGTAGTTCTGTGGCTGACACCACAAGTTAAGCCACAGTTAGGCGAATTGACATGGTTTACAGGGATAAACCAATAGAAGAATCTACCACTATTAATTTGTGCTTAAGCATTTTTGACTATGTAGTTCTAGCCTTATCAAGTTGGTCAGTTCTTCCGAAAGGCCAGATCATGACCAATTTTGCTAGAAAACCTTATAATTCTTTCATTAGAAGATCGATGCTCTAAATTTTGGCAACAGGGGATTCGACTTGCTGTCACAATGGCATGTGCAGGGATATTATGAGACATCGTGAGCAAATGGCAGGTGTACCTTCGGGAAGAAGAACACAAAAAGGCGAAAGAAATTGATATACCACTTGACAATCAACACTATAACAATATATATCCACTGCTTGTTCTCATCTTTTTCTCTTCACTTCTTCACAAGACCATAGTATTCTGATAGAGTGAAACCTTAGTCATTTGGGAAAAAAAGCCAATAAAATCCTATGAAAGCATGAACCAGAACAAAGTGTCCGAGCTCAACATTCCTACAACCATTCCAACCAAGAAACAACTCTCTTTCCTCCCTCCACATGATTTTATTAGTCATTCCCTTGTTGGAATGAGATTTTCAGCAAACTATAATTTAGGTGCATTTCAGGTTTTAAAACTTATTCGATCAAGAATAAGAACTATTTAAGTTCCATGTAACAATTTTTTTAAAGATGTCTACAGTTAATCTGAGATATTCAGATATTGCCTCTAGGATGGTTTGCTGCCATTTTGCTGAAGATCGTATTGTGAGACTTAGATCTGAGTTCTTTTGCAATATTTTATAGAAGTCTTTACATAAGATGTTTCCCCATGCACATCAAAAAGTTACAGATTAGTCAAACAAATTAAGTGATATATACTTAGGAGACAAGAAGTTATCAAACCTTTTTGCAACCTTTTTTTGCAAGAGCAACTGGCTTTGAATGCAGCAATCCAGTCATAAAGTTATAGATCAACAATTATAGCCATTGTGAACTAACAATTTAAAAAACCATAGCCCTTGTAACAGTATATTCACTATCAAACAAAAAGAAGATAAAAAGAAACTTCTGGAGTTGTGAATTGGCGCATTTCAATTTGTGCACTAGAGAGATAAGCACTTGCATGGAAAAAATGACTTATCAGCAGTAAGTCAGGTTAAAATTATCAGGGATTGTCTTTTCGGGTACCAGACCCGTTATGGCAATTTGATGGAATGGTACATACCAGTCTGTAACAGTGTACTGACATATGGTACACCGGTGCATACTGGTGGTTTGGCGAGTAAGAAAAAGAGGAACAAGTGGAAGGGGTGGTGGAGGAACAGAGGAGGAAGTAAGAGGGAAGAAGAGGAAGAAGTGGAGGAAAAAGGAAAAGAAAGAAGAGAAGGAAAAGAGCAGCGGCAGCGGCGAGGCAATTGCATCGTCAAAGCGGAAGCGACAGTGGCGACAGCGAGGCGGCGCCATCTTATGTGAGAAGAGGGCTAGCGTTTGTGATGACAAGGCAGCGGTATCGTACGTGATGGCAAAGCGACAGCGGCAGCAGTGGTGAAGCTGCAATGGTGAGGCGATGACATCTTATGCGACAAGAGGGCTCGCGTTCACGAACCATAATCTCTTTTCTTTTAACGCTGATTTGGATAGGGGCCCCACCATTTCTTTGAATTTTTTATTAATTTAATTGGATCGCCCAAAATGGGATGGTCCGCATATCGGACCACACCTGGACTAGTACATACGACCCGTACTGTACCATTTTGAGCGGTATAGCAAACATTGAAAATTAATGAGAATAAATAGTAGGGCATGCATTTTCCGACAACAAATACGACAGAGATTGATCACATAAACATGTTCATCAATAACATAATAAATGCTATTTCTAACCACACCATAGTCATTTTAGCAGTCAGATTCTAAAGTGAGAAAGCAGTTCTCCATATCATCTAACGTAGACAAATCATTAGCAGAAACAAAAAATTAACTTCAAAATGAAAGATCATTCAACATAAAAGATCAAGAAAAGTAACATGTTTTTTTTTTCTGCAAGATATGAAAAATAGATAAAAAGATATTTTACTACACCAGAAATGACCACAAAATCAAGCAATAAGAAATAGAACTCATAGGCACTAAACACACATACATACATATGCATCAAGAAGCCAGCAATATATGTTGAGCCAAATAATCATACTTGTTTCTGCAATAAATGTGTAACGTAACTTTGAGGAAAGAAAAGATACTGCATTTTTTAGTCAATGAGGGAAACATACATGAAGACAGTCAAGGGCAGGCTCCAAAAGTTTTATATTCTTTGTCTCAAATGCAAGTCTCAGAGGCTTCAAAACAAGTTCAGCTTGGGCTGCATCTAAGGTGTGGCCAGCACTTGCTAAAGCTGCCATAATAGGTTCACTGGTCTCTTGGGATTTCCTGACGGTAACAACATCCTTTTCAACATCTGAAGCTGGAGCCTCTCCTTCTTTCGCTGATAAATCACCATCAGATCTGATGCTATGCAACAACAGTAGTTGGTTTAAGTTATGCAAAAAATTGGTGAAGCACATGAGTTGAAAAGGCATAATCAAACACTAAAGATTCACAACAAGACCCTTATGTGCTTGTTGATGCTAACACAGCCATGAAGGTATCATGAGAAACCAGGAACCTACTAAAACTCATCAATAACTACTAGATAATTATTTATAGCAGGAACTGAGAGCAACCATGATCACAATATGCTACCGTAAAACCTAAAACACAAAAAAATTAGTGAGAAACCTCTCATTCCCTGCCAAAGTTGCAGCATTGTTATGCTCATCAGAAGTCAACTCTTGCTTGGTCTCTTTCATGTTGTCTGAAAGTGGAAGGCAAAATGAACATAGAAATTCTCAGCTCGTACTACAGTTTAAAGGTTTAAATAACAAAACCAACAAAAAAATATATTTTGTTAATAAATCACCACACTCAAACATAACAATCAATTTATACATAACAAGTAACCAAAGCTAATCTATGCAAAACTTGACAATTGAACTTTGATAAATCTTTTAGATAAATAATGATAAAGAATGTCAACAACAATAACAAACAAATCTCTAACTTACCAGCTCAGCTATGGATTAATTTATGCCATCTACTATATCCTTTATTAACCAATGAAGTATGGAACTATGGATATAGATATAACACATTGAAATGACATGATACATATATATCACCAAAGATAGAGCAATAAAAAATGTCATAACTGATAAAGACTGACAATTACTGATAGTATTAGAATACGTAGTTATATCTTGACAAATAATAATTATATAGAGTTTCCAACTATTCATCATAAATATTCTTACTTTTTTAATACGTAGCACTTGAAGATATAGCGAAATTATGGTGAATGACATAAGACCATTATTCTAACTTCACAAAGCATATCTATCTCATTTGTAATTAAAAGCTCGACACCCAAGGAAACCAAAGTTCTTGCAAAAGGTGATGGAATTGGAGAGTTTCTTAATTATTCTTCCCTTCCCTCCCCACTCTTTCTCTCTCTCATACTCACTCTTTGTCCTCATCCTCATTCAGTGTACACGTTTATGGTGATGGTAGTAGCACTTGGCAGTGATGTTCTATCAATTCTCATTCTACTTGTAACTTTGGTCTTGTAATCTCTGACATCCTTTTACTATGGTGCACTCAGTCACAATGTAACAAATGCACGAAGGTAACTTTGATCTTCTAATGCTCAGTCACTTGTAAATTTGGTCTTCTAATGCTTGAAGGTAAGGCAATCACAACATGTCAACAACTCATTGTGATAAAACAACTTTGTTGAATAGTCAATCATCTAAGGTTGAAAATTGGACTTCACCATTAAATTATAATAGTCAAACAGAAGATTCAAGACATCCCAATGATAAATAACCATAGAATGACTGGTCATTGTGGAAACTTAATAAAGCGATCTAATCAAGACTGGAGTGTGAAAATTTAGATTAAATTCAATTTGAATGCAAGACCTTTTTTTTAATTTAAGTCCGTAATAGGGCCATAGTCAATTCATTGTTTCCCATCAGTCTTTTTTTTTATTTTATAAAGTCCAGCATGATGTGATCAGAATAAATTTAACTAATAATGAGTTTCCAATCAATCCTAATTTCTGGGCTACTGATTGAATATTGTTTAAATTCAAAGAATCCAGCAAGATACATTTCCTAAGCAAAAAAACAGAAAAGGCCTTTTATGTTCAAAGAATTATGGCAAGATATGTTTCCTAGTCGAACAATTCTAAAAGGGCTGCTTTCTACGAGAACACTAACAACATATAATTTTCTGAGATCAAAACTCAATCTGGTTTATAAATGATTGTCACCGACTATTTTTATTTAGGGTCTTTAAAAGTCAAATTGTTGTTCACTTCTCCTAGTATGTCCAATTCAATTTTAGACTATCCATTGATTTACTTAGCCCAGTGGCACATGCATAAAAATAATTTTCAGTTGGTTTAAGTCAGAGCAATGGTTTGAACCCATGGAATGATTCATTTAGATGATTGTTGGTCATTTTCATTAGCTCCTTCTTTATCTTTTCTCCACTTTCTCAACTCGTGCTCTTCGCTTATAACAACACCAACCCCTTTCCTCAAATTTTTCTTTCAAGCTTAGCCTTATATGTCACTACCCCTATGCATATGTATGAAAACACAAATTAGGGCATATTGATCCACCACATGTCCTGCAATATATCACATTCTCTCAGGGTAGTTTCATTGTAAACTATATCTATGACATAAAACTGACAAAGATCGAGTACTAAAGAGTCATCTGCTGCTAGGAGGATTTCTACAGCCAGGAAAAAGTGAAATAAAAATAAAAAAATATAGGAGGAATATAAATTAAAAAATAAATGGAGAACAGTAGAAGTGTAAACAGACTGAACACGATCAAGTGAACTTTTGTTTATATTAGACTAAAAGTCTAAAACAAGCATATGTTTGCTTGGCTTAGCATAAGCCTGATAAGGTGTGTAAACTGAATGGATCAGGTTTGAATCAAATAAAATATCAAATTTGAGTTTGTAAGAACCAAATAATTTTTCTGGTATTTCTTTTAATATCATTAACTTTAATCAAAACCATTCAATCCTCATCCTTTATGCATTTAACATCACATAGATCCATAGTCTTTCTTTCATTTCTTTACCAAGTAAAAGGTGTTTACTCTCCATCTTCAGTATTTATGATATTGTAAAACTGCCATAAGCATTCATCTAACTGATAGTTTTTTTATTCTTCTGTTCTAGCCACTTTTTATCACTAATGTAAAGTTCCCCAAGTTTCATATAATATCCTCCTTTGCCTTTGACTAGCTCCTACATTGACTGCAAAATCACTTCCAAGACATCCTACAATACCTTTGGATTCTTCAAGAGTTCCTTTTGCCAGAATTTTTATATTGCATTAATTTTCTTTTCAAATTCTATCGATGCTTCCTTTTCCTTAAACATGTGGTGTGATCTATCTTGCCTAGTCAGTCTTCCTCATTTATTGAATTCACAAGCCTCGCTCAATATTCTATATATTTAGCAACAGTACATTACTCAAACGATCAACTTGTTGGAGATGGGTTCTTTTCCGATGCAAATTCAAGAAAACATTTCCGGTACTAAAGGAAAGACAAATCAGGACTCCAAGTAATAGCTTCGAAATAATGCAATGTTGCTTCGCAGAAGGAAGAACTATCAAAGAAATAAATGAAAAGCAAAATCTACAAACTCGAGATCTAAAGGCAAGATGTTAGGGTTGCACCAACCTAGACAAGTCTGCACGGAACTCTGCAGGGCTGGGTACTTCTTCCCCGCGCACTCCTTGAGCATGGCCTCCAAAGAGCGAATGATGAACCCTGCCGCGGCAGCGCCCGCCATGACGAAGAATGTCACAGAGATCCACCCCGACGACCCCCTTCAGAGCTCGATCCCGGAGTGCAAGGCCAAAAAAGTCCTCCAGATCTACGAATTAGACGAGAATTCGATCAGAGAAAATAGAAAGCATTGGACGATCCCAGAGGAGAATTGACAGATTGGAAGGAGGAGAAGAGAGAGGGGAGAGGAGAGGAGATCTGACCGCCGGAAGGGCAATGGCCTCCAGGGCGAAGGCCTTTTGCGGAAGCGCCCACGGTCGCAGGTAGAAGGGGCCCGAGTCTTACGATGAATATTTATATCCAGCATCTCCATCTATCACATGGGGCCCAGACACGTGTTTGGCACGTCCACGTCACGTGAACTCACAATTGCCTGATTCGAAGCACTCCAATTCAGGTGCTCAATGGGTCAAGTTTGGGTTTACCTCCTAAACCCAATTAATTTGGCAACAATATTTAAATTACAACATAACCACTTGTCACTTATGTTTTTCTAGTTAGAAAGTTAAGATATATCATTGAATAACCAATATACAATTAGAAAAATTCAAGATCGAAAGTATCAGCTAAGGAAATGTGATAATTAGTCTTAACCAAAATGTGATGATATTATTTTTTATATCCTCGTATAATTTATTTTTTTTAAATGGTGCGAAATACTAAAAAACTTCGATGCCATCTTCGTCATCTGATCATCATATACGTTAGTTGATACCGTTATCATTAATCGATCTGATCATCATAAACTTCACCATTCACTGCTGCTGCGGCTGCCGGCAATGCGGTACACTTAACTGCCTTCGTTCCTGCCGCTGTGAAGTACTCTGAGGCAGTCACGAATCATGCAATGCCCGTCGGATAGTTGCCCTATTGTTACATATGATATTTTTTATCGATTAATATAATCATTATGAAACTGTTTAAGCTCTTAAAATTACTGGTCATCTAATTTTAATATTTACTATCCATCTCCCTCCCGTCTCTCTCCATCTTCTTGTTCGGGTCATCGACGGTAGTTTTCTTTTTTCCCCAAATGCCATCTGCCACTGTAGCGTACTACTGTCAACCACTACTCACTCAGCCACTGATTAGCGCAAAAATAATAAAAAGGAAGAAAGAGAACACAATAAAGAATGGTGTTAGCTTACCGGTGGTGGAAGTCCGAGTGCCGAGGATCCCATTCCCATCCAAAAATCTGATAGCTATCTGTGGCCGAGGAGGGATGTCGCTGTAGCTGGAGGAGAATGGGCGGCTGCTTCAGTACTGGTGCCTACAGGCAAGTCTCTCTCTCCAAGGCGAAGGTGGCAGGCTCCACCACCGCTCCTCGCTGCCCGGCGGGGGCGAGAGATCCACCGCTGGCGGAGCCCGATCTGGAGGAGACGGTGAAAGAGGTCCTCTCCGAGACACCAAGACCGCCGCCACCAACCACGAGATCAGCGGCAGATCAGGCGCCTAGGCCGAAGGAGGTCGAGACCATCGACAAGGCTCCCCTCCTAGTCGACAGCACCAATGGCTGCGACACCAGATCCGAGGACGCCTCCGAAGCCTGGAGCGTCAGCGCGAAGAGCGAGACCCATTCGGCCTCCACGGCCCCGGCGGGGAAGCCACGAAGAGATGCGGCAGAGGCCAGAAGGGGGGCAGCAAGGGAGGAACGGTCGCCGGCCAAGTACCAGAGGAAGCGCTCCGACTCCGGTGAGTTGGCCTGCAGGCGGGATCGGAGCGTGGCGGCCGGGAGATCCTCCCCATCGCCGACGCCGAAAGGATCCGACCACGCGGCCGCCGGAAGGACGGTGGAGAGATCGGGCAAGCGGTCGGTGTCCCCGGAAGCGAATCGAGCGGCGCAGGAGCTGCGGCAGAACGCGGGACGACGCAGAGCGTCGGCAGCAGCGGCAGCCAGGGCAAGCGGACCGAGGGAGCAGATGCCGGCGGATGAGGGAGGAAGGAGATTGTGCATGCAGGATGTGGGGACGGTGGACGGCGGCGTGGCCGGATCTGAAGCGGAGGCGAAGGACTCGCTGGAGAACCCCCTCGTCTCCCTAGAGTGTTTCATCTTCCTGTAATGTTATCTTGACCAAGAACGACGAAAAAAATGAGGTTATTTACTATTTGAAATCTAAATGAAATAGGCGCCGGTCTTCTCTGATTTCGTGCTGCTAAGGGCCGTCTCATCTTGGGCGGTGGAACGGGCTAATTACAACACAGTCATTCGACGTTCCTAGGATTTATCTTCGTACTTAAAACATTTATATTATTGATATCCCTATAAAAATATTTAGTCTCATTTATAAGGCTCATCGATTTTATTGATAAAAGATATAATATATAACAGCGAATATAGAATTATCGATTTTATTAAGATCATTTCAAACATTATTGATTGTGTCATCTATCGCGATACCTTCATGTCACCAAGCAGGTCCACCAACGATCGTCACACCTCATCGCTCTCCTCCAACATTACCTCCGTATGCTCTCCTTATCAACACATATGCATCCTCCTATCCCCATTGACTATGCATGTGCATTGGTACTATGCCTCTACCAGCTTCCCCTCCTTTACGTTGCCCCACCCTCAAGCGACCACATCAAAGGTCTTTGCAAATTCGTAAGAATTATGCTTATGCCACCGAGGACACAAAAATGCATCACACACAAACCTGCAACATTTGTTGCACACCCATGCCATGTCAAGCAAGTGGACCCACGCATCAATTACCATGTCTTGAAGTCCAACGCGACTCGAGACTCGAGTCCCGACAATATTACTTTGGACTCTGTCCCGCCCGCGACAACCTTTGCCCTGCCTCCACCCTGTTGCCTCTGTCCATCACCCTCGGCCTTGTCCGTCAACAACCGAGGGCCGCTAAGGTCCTGTTTTCGCCCCGCCATCTCCGTTTTCGAGAGAGAAAAATAATGGCGTAGGTGTCAGAAGAGGGCAAAAGGTGGAGAGAGAAAAATAAACACTACACCTGCGCTTCGAATCCCCAAATGCCCGGTGAAAGGATCGACCGGCGTCCGAACGGGCGCCACCACTTAGAGACGGCCGAGAGCATGTCTGCACGCCGGAGTTGATCTTGCGCCATCTCCTCACCTACCGTAGCAGCTGCGGTGGTAAAACGACGCCGGGCGCACAGACGTCTCTCGACCTCGTTCATTATCATCATCGAAATCGCTGACGAGGAGGAGGCGGACCAAGTACAACCCGGTGCCCGTAGTTTCTCGATTCCTTGATCTGGTGTCGATCGAGATGGGGTTTCTGCTGTTGATCCTCCGTGATTTGATTGTCCATGAACTTGGACGAGTGCATAGGATCCATCGAAGCACTAAGGCGGCGACCGCGCGAGAGATCTGTTAAGAAGCTTGTCCGGCCTCCGGCGGCGAGAAGAAATTCTAGGGTTTTATACTTGATCACGAACGAAGATGAGGAAGAGAAACAAAGGGAAGAGACAACAAGGAAGAGACCTTCTAGTGAGGGAACACTGTGTCGGTAAGCTATTTATTTGCATCAGAAAACAAAGCCTACCATCGATATTACGATGCACGAAGGTGCCCATCGCCCGTTCGATCGAACGATTCGGGTGGTGATGGGCGCCATCTCATTAATGAACGGTCGAGATTTAAGATTTGTTCAATAATATATGTTTCTTCTCAAATGGCTTAATTCCCTGCCTCCCCCCAGTCGATCGCGGTCGCAGCCCCAACAACACAACAGCAGTCGTCCGTCGCCGCCGTCTTGGCAACAAGCATTCCTACCTACTATTAGGTTAGTTCGGCTTCCCTTCTTCCTCCTATCGGCAGCTCCTTCCTCCCCCCCCCCCCTCTCTCTCTCTCTCTCTCTCTCTCTCATAACTCCATCTACCCCTAAGGTTATCTTTTCTCCTCTCTGTCCCCTTCTCTCCTATAGCCTTATCCACCCGGTCTCTGCTTCCCCCCATCAGAGCCGCCGCCACCCTGCCGAGCCTCCACGATCTCCTTCTCTTCCCCCGTGCTTCTTCCACCGTCACCCACCCTTCTCCGTTCTCAGTCATCCTCTTCCCTCTCTCCCTGCCTCGCTCCTTCTTCCCCCATTAGTAATTGACAGGTATACCGTGGTAGCATCATATTGATACTCGATTGGATAGGTACAATAACATTAGTTTACTGTAAAGTTTGGAACCGTGCTCTACAATGTGACTAGAAATACTTACCAATCAGGAATAATTTACTAAGTTTTTGATATTTTTACAAAATAAAATATCTATTAGTTTTTATTCTCTTTGGTCCAATTGATTGACTTACCATCTCGACCAAGGACACAAAGTGTAGTCTAGTCGATATAGGTTCATCAAACAATGTGGTTAGTAGTTGATTAAATTGGTACTTAGAGGTGCTTAATCCTACCCAGAATTGCGTTGGGTGAGGCTAGACAAGCCCCAAAGGAGAATGCTTGAGCTTTATTTTTTAAAGCTAATTGAGGACTTATAGGCCTTACTGATTACTGAGGTCCAGGACTGGCTCTATCGCATTGCATTTGCACCTAATAGTAAGATTTGTTTCATAGATCATTTCTTTGCAGTTTTTGTTGCAGGAAAAGAGAGGAGATGACAGCAGAAGAGGGGGACAAGTCATTTCTTGAGCGTATGCTTTCCCATCTACGCTCCACCAGCAAGTATGGGATGGCCTTTTTCTATTATTTTTACATGTTCAATTTGATGCTCTCCTGGAGTCAAAAAAAAGGAAAACAGGGAAACAATCTTATTGATGTATATGGTGGATGAGTTTCTGTTAACCTCTATTCCTTTTTTGTTAAGGTTTTGCATAATTAGACATCCATAGGCACTTCAAATTTTCTTCTTTGCTTCGCTCTCTCTGCGAATGATTTTGCTGCACAAATTTGTTACGTTATGTTTTTTTTTGTTCAACATGCATCATAATTTGTTTACTCATTGTATTCCTTTATAAAGTTATATGTCGTGTAATCCACATACCACACCACAAAATTAAGGAGATCATCCATGAATTAACTAGAAGTCTCTGATGACCTTTTTTTACTGTTATTTGGGTTTCTTCATGCAAGCTGCAAAATTTACAAAAAAAAAAAGAAAAAGAAATCAGCACTACATTCATATAATGTTGATTTTGTGCAAGTATCATACATGGCATGGCACAAAAAGGAGGAGCTTCATATTGAATGCTATGTCACATTCTTTTAAATGTTCTATTAACATCGTTTTACATACTGGTCACAGTTTTAGACCTACTATTTACTAGTTTAACTAGGAAAACATGTAAGTTTGAGCTCAGTCGTCTTGTTTTACATTACCAATCCATCGACAAGCTTCTGTACATGTAATGTTTTGAGATTTGGAACCTGGAACAACCTAATGTTGAGATCAAATTAGGTGTGTTTGAATATATTTTATCATAGTGATTATATATATCAGTAGTTGAACTATACTTTAGAAGAAAGCATATGCTGAATAAAGACAAAAAACAACATAAGAATAAATAGAAGAATAGAATCAAAGTTGATAGCATGGCAGACAGGAGCGGCAAAGTCTCATATTGTAAAGATTTGTATCCTCTTATAAGTAGCTTTCTTACCCAAGCGACATGGTCTTTAGGTAGAACTCATATTGTAGGACTTTCACTAATATTACAGCTCCTAAAAATCCCACGTGAACTATTTTAACACCTGCAACATCCAATTTAGAAACAAATAGATCTAGTTCAAATTGACTCTTAATCACAATCTTAAGGCTCCCTTATCTATGGTAAAAAAATTCCAGAGAGTTGAGAAGCCACTCCAAATGTTCATGTGATAAATTCTATAGCTAACTTGAGTCATAGCTAAATCTGATAAGTTCAATGTAAACCTAATCTATTTAGGCTGCAGTATAACTTGTCATATTTATCGATCAACTGGTCCAAACATAAACTTGTACATATGCTTCACGTGGGGGAACATGTTTTCAACGAACACGAGCCAGTACTAAAGTCAATCTTCTTTTAAAAAGCATCAAAAAAGAATTTTATTTTTGTTGTTGGTAAATAGCAGGTGTCACTTCCCTTAAGCAACATTAAATAGTAATACAATACATAGATGAGTGTGCTTAATAACATGTTATCAGACAATGAAGAAGGTACACAATGTAGATTGTTTACCTCCTAAATGTTCTCTGCAATATATAAATTTACTTCTCTTGCTTTCAAGACCTATATTTTAGTGAGTAGTTATGTATTTTGCTTGGATTTGGCTCTAAAACCCATTATTTGTGTTTCCAAACTACTGGTATTTCTTCTTTATGCTTGTCATGTGGATTTGAGTTAGGGGAACCCTGGTGCACTCTTTCTTTGTTCTGTTAGATTGAATGGCTTAGCCACAAATCAAGTAGGCTGTAACGACTACTCGGTTGGCATCTGATCTCTATTTTTCATGAGCTAATTACAGTTAGAAACTTTTGCCACTGTTGAGTGATCTGCTAATGATAAGTTCAATGTTCAAAGTGACTTTGATGCATCAGCCTCAGATGTCCTGGTTTGGTTGCTTTTGGACTTGCTCAAGATTTCAGTTCAGGATGCCTCATTTTTCTTTGTACTTTTGAGATGCTGTAATTCATTTAACATAGCTTGTTCTTGCTTACCGCTTGTTGCGTTCATTATCATTTTGGGTGAAACTTTCTCACGTTCATAGTTCTTCATTTAGTTGTTCTGTGAACTTGAATTTCTTTGCTGCAACAAAATGAATCATGTGATACAACAATACCAGGAACCCACCATGAAAATGTATCATGTGATATAATTGGTAAACTAATCTGAATTCTAATTGAAGGATTGAAGTTTTCTAATGCATAATAGAAGTGTTTTTGGAGAAAACATTTTGGGCTCTGTCCAACATGACATTTTCTTTTGGTATTTTGATTTTATATTTTTGTATTATTTTCAATTTCAGGTATTACACTGGATATCCAAAAGATCTTGGACCTTCACGAATTGTTCACTTCACCTCCGAGCGTCATTTTGTTCAGCTACTACATGAAGGCAGTCCTGTCGTTGTTGCATTTACTATTAGGTGTTGCTAATTATTTTATTTTACCAATTTATTTTCATTGGCTTCTATTGGTAAAGCTCTATTGAAAAATAAATGTCTCACTGTTTGCATGTCCAAAACCATTTTTTCTTGTGTA